AACATGACCGTGTAATCGTCGTAGAAGCGGAGTCCGAATGACGCGACGCGCTGGTGGCGGAAGAACGCACGCGCTTAGGACTGCGTCTCTCATCCGCGCAACACTCTCGAGCCTAATGTCTCAAAGGACTGGCGCCCCTCCGCCATTCTTCGCGCACTCTGACGATGAAGAAGATCAAGCGAATAAGCAACAGCGCGATGTGCCCCTGGAATTGTCTGATGCAGACAAGAATGCCAGTGCACCGCGCGAACCCGCGCTGTTCTTCGCTGACAGTGACGACGACGAGGATTCAATTGAACACGTACCCATTCAGCTTCCAATGTCCACGCTTGACCAGGAAATGGCAGACCTTTCTGATGACATAGAGATCCCTGAGCTGAACGACCCTCCAAGAGCATCTAGTGTTTCCAGCGCGTCCTCTGCGCATGAACCAAAACCATCTTCACGGTCCCCTTCAGTCCCAGTTGAGGAGAGATCTGACGAGAGGCCAATGAAGAAGAGAAAGTTGTCGCCGACTTCACCGGACGCTGAGGCGTTGGCATCCTTCAATTTGTCATATATGGGTTCCTTTCTCGTAGCCAATGCTTGGAGTACTGTACGTGGATCTGGATATGTCAAACCGGGTGACGAGATTCGCATTGAGCGGGACTCGCCTGAAGACGAAAACGCTTCCAACGCGAAGCAGGCGAAGGGGAAAGGCGGAACAACCAAGGACGGCAAGACCAAGGGTGGCAAGAGGCAAATCTCTATAGCCACCATGCTGAAGCCACAACCGGCAAAGCAGACGAAGAAGAAGAAAGACCTAGTAGTAAGGCTAACAAACTCTAGAGGCTTTGGTAAGCACACGTCCGATGTCTGTCACCTCTGAACTCAAGGGTGTGCAGAATTTGGTCGATTGCCGCAGGACGTCGCGTCTTGGGTATCCAGACTCTTGGACCTTGGTGGGTCTCGAGCTATAACCATTTTATCAGTTTCTGAAATGAATATGAAGACATAGTTGATTTTCGCGGAAGCACGATTGTCGACTGCCCTGCTACGCTCCATTCCGGTGCCGATCTCATCGTCTCCCTCTCCATCTACATCAAGGCTTCCGCTTTCCGCGCACCGAGCACATCCACCGACGACGAACATAAACAGCGCGTGATGTTCGATGAAGGCAAGGAGACCGGGGAGGAGCAGACTCTTCGGGAGCGTAAACAGGCGCTGCTGAAGATGTTCAAGGTACTCGACCTTAAGCCTCGGAGAGGGAGCGACTTCTCGCGGAAGCCGCATGGTAAGCTGGACAAGAAGGATCTTGAGACGCTCTCACAAAGGCACGCGGCAAATGGGGGATCTGATACCAAGAAGAAGACTGAGATCGTCGGAGATGGCGAGGAGGTGGAAGTCGATGAAGAGGGTGAAGAGCTGTCTGAGAACGAGCTTGACCTCATCTATAAGAGGTACGGGCTGCTTACTGCCGCCCCGTACTGAACATAAGATGGTTGACCAGAGTTTATCAGGGCGCAGCAAAATGACCGCCAGCTAGGACAAATGGAGCCGGCAGACACCTTCACGTTGACGTTGCGAGGGTACCAGAAGCAGGCTCTAAAGTGTGTCATGTGTCGATCCAATACTTCTACTGATCGTTATATATTCCTTGTCAGCTGGATGCATTCGGTCGAGACTGGCGTCGTATCGGTCCGTGAAGAAACTTCTATGCATCCTTTGTGGAAGGAGTGGGTCTCGCACCTTTCCGCGCACACCTATAACTGATGGTGCATAGATATGTATTTCCACCCGAACCTGCGAAGGGCATCATCGACTTGACCGCTGACGATAGAGCTTTCTACTTCAACGAGTATTCTGGCGAGCTGAGCCTGCAATTTCCGAAGGCAGAAAGGAAGTGTAGGGGAGGCATCCTTGCGTACGTCCGCTCTCATGTGGCTAAAGCTACGCTAACGATAATCGTAGTGATGGTGATATGTCTTTGTTGTCTGAGCTTATATTATGCTGACCGATGACACGTCATGGTTTGCTTTCTCAGAGAGTACGTGCCGCAGACTGGTGGGATTTACTCTATACTGACTCGACATGATAAGTGGGCATGGGAAAGACTATTATGCTTTCTGCGCTCATACAGACTGCCCGCGGTCCCGAAGACCCCGCTCCGGAGAACCCGGCGATTCCCAGCAAGAAGCGACAGCTAAACCTCAGTAGAGCCTTCCGCACCCTCAAACGTGACCCAGACGCGATACCTCAACGAGGTCCAGCAGCGACGCTGATCGTTGCACCGACTTCGTTGCTGCTGCAGTGGTCCACGGAGCTGGAACGATCGAGTAAGCCAGGGACACTGAAGGTGTTGGTGTGGCATAGCCAGAACAGAATGGACTTGGATGCTGCGCTAAGTGTAGACGATCCAGTTGACGTGGTGATCACGTCCTACGGCACGCTGGTATCAGAACATTCAAAGTCGGAACGAAGTAGTGGCAGTGGCACATCACCAGTTTTTGAGAGTGAGCATTCGCCTATGCCCGAATGAGACCATTTCTGACGTCCTTGGTTTCAGTTGAGTGGCTCCGTAAGTTATGGCCTAGTGATTGATCCTCTTTCACCAACTACTTCGTGTAGGTGTTGTCCTCGACGAGGCTCATCATTGCAAATCGCGACAGAGTAAAACGGCGAAGGCAGTCTATGCTTTACGTGCGCGACGGCGATGGGCTGTTACGGGCACGCCTATCGTGAACAGGCTGGAAGACCTTTATTCACTGCTGTTGGTCATCATACTTATCTACATCTACTCTGCTTATACGCTTGCAGTAAATTCCTGGACTTCACACCTTGGTCTAACTATACCTTCTTCCGATCGTACGTGATGCAGCATCACGATTCACTGCCTGCGTATGAATAACCCTCCCCTTTAGTTTCATCACGCTGCCTTTCCTTGCTCGGGATCCCAAGGCAGTTGAGGTAGTGCAAGTCATCCTGGAGAGTGTGCTGTTGCGGCGAGAGAAAAATATGCTCGACACAGATGGGAAAAGGATTGTAGAGTTACCCCCGAAAAAGGTAACCTCACACTTTCTTCGACGTGGATCGGCCGTGACGGTACACACCTAGGTCATCGTAGAGAATCTCGAATTTTCGCCACTGGAGCGGAAGATCTACGACTCACTATACACGGACGCCAAGAAGAACTTCGACAAGCTGAATGAGAAGGGACTCGTGAGCAGGAATTACACTCACATCTTGGCTATGCTTATGCGGTAAGGATGTTGATACGCCAGTGTGGTCAGCGACTTACATATTCGCAGGCTACGTCGTGCCGTTCTCCACCCCAACCTCGTACTCTCCACTGAAGACGAAGGAGTACAAGCAACGAGTAAAGGGGCGGTGGACGTTGATGCTCTCATTAAGCAATTCGAGGAGGGTAACGATGCAACAGGCGATCATAAGACCTTCGCTGAGGAAGTACTCGCGAACCTGGAAGGGGAAGACGAGAAGGAGTGTCCGATATGTTTCGATGTCATGGACTCGCCTACCATTATCCCGAGTTGCATGCATCAGAGGTATGTTAACAAAGTGTTCCAGCAGCCATGTGATCAGCTAACATTCCTGAAGTTGTAAGGATTGCATCGTGGCTTTCATTGAGACGTGTCGAGAGAAGGGGGAGGACGGTCGGTGTCCGACATGTTCCCGTGGTCCGGTCAAGGTTCATACTGTGTTTCTTCTACCTTCGACGTGATACTGAACGATTTTCCAGGAGAGCGAGCTCATTGAGGTGGTACGGATGAAGACAGAAGCAGATACTACGGAGCCGCAAGCGTCCCGCACCGCGGTTACGTTGCGACGCAATGATTTCCGATCATCCACGAAGCTTGAGGCGTTGCTGCAGAACCTCAGTTAGCCAGTCTCTTCGACATATATGGGTGATCACTGACGACACTGTTCTCAGAACAACTACGAACCGAAGATCCGTCCTTTCGTGCCGTCGTCTTCTCTCAATTCACAAGCTTCCTTGACCTGATACAGATCGTCTTGGAGCGTGAGGAGCTAGCATGGTATCGGTTCGACGGCAGTATGGATGTCAAGAAGCGAAACGAGTCAATAGCCGGCTTCAAGGCTGACTCTCGAGGCCCGAAAGTCCTCATTGTGAGCCTGAAAGCGGGCGGTGTTGGCCTCAACGTGAGTGTTCCTTGTCGAGCTGTCAGCCTGCACTGACATGCATCGCCAGCTTACGAATGCCAACTACGTATTCATGGTACGCTTCGCGAATCTAGAATTACTTGCAGTGAATTGACGTCGTGTTGCTTTGTAGATGGACTGCTGGTGGAATGCGGCCACCGAGAATCAAGGTGCGTAACGTCGTGTATTAGCCTATTTACTTGCCGTTGACATTGTGACCAGCAATCGACCGTGTCCATCGCATCGGGCAGGAGAAGACTGTCTACGTGAAACACTTTATAGTAAGTCATAGACCACTCACTCGCTCTTGCTGCTATTTAGACACTTGCAGATCTCGCACACCATTGAGAGTCGTATCCTGCAGATACAAAAACGCAAGACTGCCATAGTGAAGGAGGCGTTCCGAGGCAAGGCAGAGGGCGATCCGGAGAGTGTCGAGAATTTGAAGATTATGTTCGGTGAACAATGAGTGTGTGTAGTCCATTGGCTGCTCAGTCCGGGGGACTCGGGCTGGGCAGCTGGTTGCTACATCTTACCTCTGCCGACACTTACCAGGCGATATTCTCTGTCACATCTATGACCCCGTTTCCCTTGTATGTATGGCCATCAGCTGAGAGGATGCAAATCCTTTCGCGTGCAGTGCCTGTGCGTCCACTGTGTACCAGCGCCCAGCCAGCTTGAAGCACACGCCTCCCGTAGCAATCATGTAGGTAATAATAGTTATTACTAGCGCAGCGCTGAATAAGTCGGAGTGCATGCGATGCCGTCATCCTCCATATACACCATCTTCTGCAACTGTAGCGTGATTTTAGTTCGGTTATGAGGCGAAAAATAAATCAATATGACAAGAGCGAGATTCGAACTCGCGCCCTTTCGGACTGGATTGGTATAACCTGATTCCAGCGCCTTAGACCGCTCGGCCATCTTGCCATGAAGAGTAGCCTCTCAATTCTCAACAGATCCTGTCAAAGCCATGTGCTACATGCACATTCCTCCAAGTTATCAGTGTAGTTTGCAAAGGGCATGCGAAGTTGACAGCAACCTCCGTACCCGCGGGGTTGTACCTAGTAGGCAGATGCATCTCTGAGAAACATGAAAGTATGATGGTTTCCTCCCTGAGCTCTGTCTTCCCTCTGCTGCCTGGCTTGTCAGGCGTCGGAGAGCGAGTGGAAGGCTGAGGTCCACCAGTCCTTTGCCCCGAAGAGTCTTTCGAGTAGAGCTACTGCCTTAAGGGCGCGGTCTAGATACTCGTCGACTGAGTGTGCAAGCTCAGTCATATCGGGAACCGGGAACAAAACGTCGATGGATGTGCGTGCGGATTGCCTGGATTTGTACTCAGCAACTAAGCGCTCGAGTATGAACACGTAAACACTCACCCTACTTCTGCACAGTATCCTGCTGGGTCCTCCATGTACCTTGCTGCATCGCATGCAAATTTGGCACAGCAGAGACCGACGACTCTCCTGTCGTATAACTCCTCTTCTAACAAGTCATGGTGGTACGTGTGAGTCTTTGTGGTAGCTGCAGCCGCAGCGAGCACATTGGGGTCATCGGACTGGTCGGAGAACTGGTCGGAGAACTGGCCGGGAAAATATGTCTGCATCTTCAGCCAAAACATCTCCGAAGAACCGTGCAGGAATGTCCGTTTGATATCCTACAATACACACGAGAGCAGCGGCGAGTCAGCGCACAATTGTGTCGAGACAGGGGACGAAACACCTACTACTTCGTAGCATGTGTTGACGATATGTCTGTACAATTGCTGTTCGTCATCTGCGCATTGCGTTACTCGTCCTAGCCGTCTTTCTTCAATTGGAGGTATCTTCGGGCTGAAATGCTTGTTCCACTTGAGCGCGCTCGTCGCGCTCTGAACCGCCATTTTGCGGGCAATATTGACGTGTCCAAGGAGGGTGAGCAGCTCAGGGATCTCATTTGGCAGGAAGTCTGGTTTGGTGATGGTGCGAATCGCATATGCAAGGACTGGCAGCGGGGGACAGTCCTGAGCCGGTACATGCGGCAGGATGGTTGTGCTAATATGGTCTCCAGAGCGTAAGCGAGTTCAATTCGAAACGGAGTGGCAGGAAATATCAATCTTACCGAACACATCTTTGCGCAAAGTCTCGTCTCTGTAATCCACCGTCTTGACCGTCAGACTCCTGCTCAGGAGAGATATGTTGTCTTTGAGTGATTGATCTGCGGCAGACATCTTTTCATACAGTCACTGTTATCGTTCAGCCGCGTAAGGCCAAGACCTCTGTGCAACGCACGGTCAACAAGGATGGAGAACATGGGCAAGAGACTCGCGTGCGACGACGCGTCGATGGCGTGGCTTATAGCGGAGACTGAGCTGAGTTACGCGCAAGTGGCGAAGAGCCTGAGACTATGGGAGATCATTCCAGAGACGTACCCGCCACTATCGTCCTGACGGGGTATTTCCTGTCAAAAATTTAACTCATGGATGGAGAGCTTACTGTCCACGATCAGGAAAGGTACATAAACGCCGCAGAAATGACCACTGTACTACCGTTCTGCCTCCAGCCACAAGCGCTGATAGCCATCACTGCGTTTTTCAGACCCCGCCCAGCTTGTGTAGGCTCGTGCACCAAAATCGACAAGCCTGTCTTCTGCACCAGACTCGACAGTGCAAAAGCCGCGATGCTCGCCACGTACAGGATATCGAGACCCCCTCGATTACGTCCTCCTTTGCGAGCGGGCTAAGGTCTGAGCATTCTAGTCCTCCTCGATCGGCCTTAGCAGGGCCCTGGTCGTAAGGCCGGCGCGACATATCAGAAAACCGCTGCTGGTGTGCATACAAGCCCGCAGATCCATTAGGCTCGAGCTTGACTTGAACATGGTGGGGAGGGTGTGCATCAGCAGCTTGGGAGATGTCGCGGGGACTGGGTGGGCATTCCGGCCGCCAGACGCGACGCGAACTTGTGTCACTCGTCTCGGTGCGCGGTGCTCGTCCTCCAGCTCACTTCGCGGCTCGCAATTTTGGAGGCTTCGCGCTTCCTGCGAAACTCGATTCAGACTACTCTTGTGCTGTCAGCTGTGCACAATTTTTGTCGTCGTTGCTCTTCGTGAGCAAACTTGGCCAGAAGAGGCATGTCAAGGTATGCGTGTATCCATTGAAGTTCAAGATGTTACATGAGTTTGACTATTACAGTCCTAGTAGAGTTCGTGTATTGATCCAGGCCCATATGTCACCCATATGAAGACATGAGCTCGCGTATATCGTTCGTTAGGTCGCCGATCATGGCATGATAACTGCTTTGACGAAGGCATCGAAGATCGCGTCGCCCCAATTCACTCCGAAGAGGGCTGTTTTCTCGCGGAGGATGACGAAGCCTTGCGTGATGAGCTCAGCGTCGCGCAGCTGTGGGGTATGGTGAATTCTGGAACTGCGACGAGTGTGCGATACGACATACGCGAAACTGATCGAATACGACATCCGCGCGAATGATGTACAGGTCGACCGCGCTCATCGGAAAGTTGATGAATCGCATAAAGTCGAACGGGAATTGTCCCAATGACGTGAAGACCTGGCTGTAAGGACGGTTTAGCACACGCGGAGCAACCAGGTCGAAGACAACATACGTCCACCATGGTGTCCACTCTCGCTGGTACGGCCGATGCACACGCACCCAGCGGCCCTCCTCTGCGACAAGCACGAAACTTCCCCGATCCGTATCCCAGTCCCTCCGGAGCTGCGCATCAACGGCACGGAAGGTATATATACGGCCATCCGAGTTGTGCAAATGCAACTGACAGGCCGAGACAGTTGTGCGTAGTTCGTCGGTTTCGCGATTCAGGAAGGGAGCCGGCGGGTCGACGTGATCTGCCGGGCTGCTGCCGTCCGCCTCGCGATCATCGTATTCGTCGCTCGACTCTTCAAGACTTGCATCGCTGTCGTCCTGCTCCTCTTCCGAGCTTTCAGCCTCGTCTCCGTCCACCCTGTCATGGCCATTACCGTTGCTTTTTCCAAGTAACGTCGCAGACAGGGGCCGCACCCTCGGTTGCCTTTTGCACTTGACAGGGACCCGGGCCTGCGTCTCTGATACGCCCGCAAATTGTACAGTCGCCTTGACGTCGTCCAGGCGATAGATATCCCCGTTCAGCAGCGCGCCTACGAGGTTCTGTCTAAGACGTTTTATCCAGTACGGCGTCTCGTTGCTGTGGTGCACACGGAGTCTGAAGCCGTCCAGCTCTGCACTGATCCATGGCCCTGCCGTGCGCTTGAAGAGGTAAGGGAAGAGCCAAAATGTCACGTCCATCCGCGTGAGGGAGGCGTCGCAAGTCGTCGACTTGTATAAGATCTCATGCGCAGTGAGTACGAGCCAGGATGGATAGGAGGGTGTTGGCAAGTGTAAGCGGACGAAGATACACGGGGCCGTGAAGGTGTAGGTATACTTCTCGTCATAAAGGGCGCCGGTGTAGTGGACGTCGTAGAGGGAGAGCGTGCTGATCGAAATGCGACCAATCTTCAGGTGGTGTCCTCGGAGGGGTCGGTCTGCAAGCCAGGATGTGAGAACGAAGAAGATTGTCAGGATGATGCCACTCGTGAATTGAAGAAAGGCCTGAAAGCGGAGGAGACCATCCATGAGCAGAGTCAGACGGCTGTTGAACGGCGGCCCGTTTGCCATAGCATTGGCGGCGAAAAATGGGATGCGGTGGGAGCTGAGAGCGACACGCAGCCATGACAAATGTTATAGGACCAAGGAAAGTTGAGGAGCGGTGAATTTCGTTTTCGATGGTGCACACTGCGCTGTGCATGTCTGCTCCCGTCGTTCCCGTTCCCCGTCCTGGACGCCCCCTCGCCAACGTCATAGTCACGCACATCACGCACTTTATTAACACAGTAACGCCCCTTACGTGTCACGCTTCATCCATCCACCATGGCAGCGCCCAAGACCAACGGCGCGCAACCAAATGGCACACCGCCCACTCAGCCTCGCAGTACACTTGATGCCGACATAACGCTTTTGCAGTCTCTTCTCACTCAGGACCAGAACGATGAGTCCGATCTTGACGTCGCGGAGATCCTAAAGCGGCTCGAAACGGCGGACGGCATCGCTACGGGGCTGGAGGGCCGCTTGGACGACATCATGAGCAACCTAGATTCTATGATCAATGTGCTAGAGCCTGAGGGGAAGATCATCGAGCAGGAGTCGGCTATAGTACGACAGGGCGATACCACCATGCAAGAGGAGCGTGTAGTGGCGGTTTCGTCGACCGTGACCGAGCAGTCCCAGCAGGGGAAAGGGAATTGACAGCCCCGCGTACAAAAGCAAGCATGGACGGGGCTGGATGACAACAATGCCATTAGCTCTTGCATATGGTGAGTGTTCTATTCCTGCCTGACGGTAGTGACTGAATGACCCAATGATTTGCTCAGGTTCGCGATGATCGGCAAGACGTCAGAAACAACCTTAGAGTCCTGCGGCCGACACCCATTAGTATCCCTTGCCCGTATACGTCGAACTCCCTGACATTGAAAGACCGCTGGGGCCTTCCCCGGACAGTGATTGTTGCTGCAAAGCTATCACGCCGCACCGGCAGTACGTACGAACATGTTTTGGCATGGACATAAAACTCAGGCCTTCAAGCTTCAAGGGTGACCTGTATAGCTGCCTTTGACATAGTAAAATCTTCATATGACTGCGTCACTGCGTCGAATACATTTGTAAGTTTATCAGGTGAAGAATGAGGAAACAGCCCTGCCCTCTGTGTCCGGAAAACATGCACGAGGAGTCAAACCAAAAGAAACAAGTATGTTGAATATGACCACCGCAGGGCTCGAACCTGCAACCTTCTGGTAAACATCGGCGATCGAAGCCAGATGCGCTACCATTGCGCCAGGAAGCCATAAACAATTTATTGGCTATGCGCCACGACTCTCCTAGGCCCTGACGTTCGAGTTTCGGCCATGAGTATATGGGAGGTTCTCAACTGGGTGGGCATTACAGCGAGGATACTGGTACAGACGCAGAAACCAAGATATGTCACCAGCGGCGAAGAGGTTAAATAAAGTAGCTAGTCAAGGAGAGAATGAGACAGGGAGTGGTGGCAAGAAAGGAACGTGTACATTGTGAAAGGAGTGTGGTTCGCCGCTGGTGATGAGGGTCCCTGTTCAACGTTCAACAATCGTTGTGGTATCGCCCTAAGGAAGGGTATCGTGGTTAGAGAGCTACAACAGGCTACGGGAGATGGCAATGAGTTAGTGGAAGTACTTAAGTACAAAGAGAACGGTGACCACGCGACTGACCTCTACTTCGTCGGAGCGATCTGAGAACACACTAGTAGCCCGGGTGGCGTCTTCGGGCCCGTGAACCATGATAGAATTGTGCGCGCTAGGAAGCGGCACTTCCCATGCAGGAACGTTACCCCCGCCAAGGAGCGGCGCAGGATCCTGGAATGGATTGGGTAAAGGAGCGTGGTCCGTCGGCGACTCTACAAGTATGGCGGGCGCCAGCGGCTCTCCATACGCTTGTCGCGTCGGGTCCGTGAACGGGTTCGTGCGCGCCGCGCCCATCTCAGCGCTGGGCGTGGGCAGCGACACGAGGAGGGCAGTGGAAGAAACCATGGCGGGGGAGGCCGCGCCGTACCTGCGTGTCGAAGAGACGCGGTTGTTCGCTCTCGTGATATCATCAAACTCTCCCTCGGCTGTGTAGAAAAGCGACGAGCCGCTGCTTGCCGGGCGGTTCAGGAGCCCGGAGAACATCGCGCAACCCGCTCGGGAGGGACTGAACCAGACTGACTCGCGGGCAGCTCGGCGGCGACGGGTGCGTCGGTAGCAGAGAAGACCGAGGACAAGCAGGAGGAGGATGGCTAATCCCGCGACGATGCCGCCCACAACTTTGCCCGTTTCCGAATGCCTGGCAATATGCTAGTGAGTTGGGTGTCATGGAATCGAGAGCAAAGCCTGCGAAGGGTGTATATGGTACACAAGATGCTTACCTTGCCGATCCTTGCGTGGTAACATTCAGAGAGCTTGGTGAAGGTGTAGGAACCGACTCGGTTCCTCCCCCTAACGTGAACACGCTGGGTATCATCTCTGTGCTGGAAATCGTAGTCGTCTCGATAACTGAGGTCGGTGAGCCAGAAAGACCGGTGGTAATGATAGTGTAAGACGACACCATCACAGTGACGGACGTTTCCAGTTTCGTCGTAAGTGTGGGTGTTCGATCCGAGTCTGTTTGCGACGTGGAATCACTTCCGCTTCAACCTACATTCAGTATGTCGAAGATGGTGCGACAGAGGCAACGTACGCAACATTAGCAACCGGCGACGATTTCTCGCTTGCAGAGGTGGTTCCAGAGGATGACGGCGTGGCGCTATCGATTGACTGGGGGCTCGGATCGTTGTAAGTGACACTTGGGGTTTCAGTGTCACTAGACCGATCATTCCCTGTAGTACTCAAGGTAGCAGACGACGTCTCAGACACTGGTGCTGTGGTCTGGCTCTGCGTTGTAGGAGGCTGGGGCGTGCTTCTCGTAGGAGACGATGTGGGCGAGGCTGACGTGGTCAACGGTTGGGTACTGGTTCTTAGCGTCTGAGTTCCTTGCGAGGTTGAAGAAGCAAGACTCGAACTTGAGGGACACAAAAACAAAGAGCAAATTACCGGTGACCAGGTGTCTGGCGAGTTTGTCGTGCGGGGCTCGTGTGCACCCCCCATATTGGCTGCCAGAGTCAGTGCCTCTGCAACAGTTTTGTCCGGCCACTGAGCACCGAAGAAGCTGGGCGAGGAGAACTGTTGGTCAGTACACAAGGAGATGCGGCAGGCTCTGTCGGGGGAGGGGGGGCAAAGAGGAAGGCGTGAAGGGAACACGGGAGGGAGAGAATAACACCTTCGACGGAAGGGAGTCGACGGCATACGAATGTTGAGATCATGCCATGCGGGTATGATGAACAGAATCACTGACCATCGATGTGAGACAGACAGTTCGACACAACGGTCAACTGGGGAGAGTTCTTGAGGGTGGCCTCATATCCAAAAGGGTTACAAAGGCTCAAGTGCAGAAGACTGGCAAGTAATCAAGATGAAGGGTTTGCGGGACACCCGCCTTGAAGTTGGCGGGGCCATACTACTAGTATAGCTATTTGAGAGAGGCGCCTCTAGAGTGGCCGCACGGAAGATAGATGTCGTTGTTCAATTGGTGGGACCAATGGGAAAAGACCTCGTCCTTCGTGAATCTGATGATGCTGTGCATTATGATGAACCTCTAAGCACGATATGGACGTACATAGACCGAAGGGGCGTGAACTGGTTGCATAGAATTGTGGCAAGCGTTGTATACTGAGCGTGTACGTACTTACTAGTACAGCCGCGCTTCCACGGGAGAGGTGCTTATGTAAGATGAGAGGAGCTCAACTTCCAGCCACGCAGCACTGGCAGTCACATTCTGACGAATCCAAGCGGCATGCATACACTTTAACCCGCAACTGTGAAGCTTGGCGATAATCCGTATCCCTGGCCCAGGAGGCTTGTAAGTAGACTCTATTGCCATATCAGCCCTGACATGGCCATGGACCGCTCCTAGTAGCCTCCTACTACGTTCGATGCACCGCCGCCGCGACCCGCCTCACTCCGCCTCAGTGTCGGCTGGGGCCGATCATGATCAGTTAATAATATAACAGCACTCAGCTCAATGATCTTGTTAGCTCGCCTCATCCCCCTCTGGTCGGGTTCCACGTCTCCGACATCCCTCTCTCGACTGCCTTGCCACTCCGGGGAGGCGATCGCCCCTCTCGGGACGCACGAATCCACTCCGGAGCTCGACGCGCCCCGAGGCACTCCGTCCTGAGGTCTGGCGACCTCACAGCCGTCGTCATACTCCGATTTTCTGCATGAACTGCTGTCAAGATCTCAGAACGTTTATCGCCCGTGAGAGAAGCCTAGTAGAGGACGCGCCTTCGCATGTTATCAAATCTGGCCCGAGGTTCACGCTGACGCTTTGCAAGTCTGTATGGCACCCAATCCACACCGCACCGCCAACCGTACGAAGTGTTCACGGAGTCGGAGATGCCAGCTCATCCGAGGCAATCGCGCAATACACCACATCGTGATTGACAAGACCATATACAAGGTGCCTACCGTACAGCTTGACATTTCCGCAGCATCCCTACTGCTTATCCCGGAAACCCCTTTGCCATATGCAAGTTTGTACTCGGAGTCACCTCCCTTGTGACCAGAATTCGCGCTGCTGGTGTCCGCAGCAAATTTTAGCTAATCGTAGTGTATATGCCAGCAGTATGAACATGGGTCCAAAAACAGGAAGCCAGCTGGGAGGACATACTTTCGAGCGCTTCCAACTCCGGAGACTTCGATGCATTGCAATTCGATGTCGTCAGCCATTGTTTCGCGAAGCCAATGGCGGACATTCAACCTGTCGTAGTTTCGGACCATCGAAGTCAGCTATGGGACAACCACACACGGTTGACAGGACGACGGAAGATCAAATCAGAATTAGGTGCCACTCACAATGCGAGAAGGGAGTTCAAGTAAACTGCCAGCGATAGGCAGGAAGACAGTTAGTTATGTACACGCGAGTCAAAAATTTGAGTGGGAATGCACCCTTGCACACCGGAAGATGACATGCCATCCAGATGAGGTCGCTTGCGCCGGAACGAAAAGTGGTACTGATGTACTGCCGGTGAAAAGGAACTATGAAAATCAAAACCGATGTGCTACTGCCAGAAGACGTACAGTAGTGAACGCCAATAGCTGGATCAGACTATATGTGGACCCGGGGCGACGTACCGCATCAGCTTACATTCTTACTATGTTTGAGAAATCGGCCACATACGCTGTAATGATTCCCCGCTGGATTGCGAAAATGACGAGTTTTGCAATGACTGAATCTGTCCTGTTTTCAAATGGTCGGTCAGTACCATAACATCCAAGCGCTGATTTCCCGGAGAGATATGACAACAAGAAGGTTTGGATGCAGGGAGCGAACACACCTTGAGAATCCCGTTTTCTTTCTGTGTAAGATGATTGACAAAGCGACTGCGATGAATAGGTCTGTTACAAATGCTGTAACAGCTTGGATTAATGCGGGAACCTCGGTACGATCTGCAGTCGCTAGCACTGTTTCATCGGGAAATTGTGTCCTGTGAGCGAGTCCATGGTATTGTCAGGCAGGTCCTGCTATGTCGGAGCCCAACCGACAAAGACATGAGAACTCACATATCATATATGCATGCTATTGGAATCGTCAATGCAGGCACCGTCCTCATTAACCGGGAGCCCTCATAGGCAGGACTCACCTATTCCACCACCTGTTGATCAACTTAGCCGCTCGAATCATGTCTGACGGTTGGTTTGAGGTGCTTACAGAAGGACAATAATGCAAATGCGATCTGTTGTAGGGATGTCAGCGTGACTCTTCATTGGTCCACTTAAGTATGTTGTGTCACCATTGTCAAGATCAGAGAGAGGTGATACCACTTCGGTGCTATGAGTCCGTGCATGACTTCTCTGTGATTTAGGTACTCAGGGTGATTCGAAGACGAGGACAGACGTACGGCGCCAGATGCAGTAAATGAAATATCTGGGAAAGCATAGAATCATGGCTGAATTCTTGTGGCTCGCATCATGAAGTCGATATCTACTCACAGTTGAGTCATCAATACAATCAAAGCCTGCGCCCCGGGATCACCTCCAGTTGGTCATTGCGACAAGCTGTTGAGACGCAAAGCACGCACCGAGAGAAATGCCTCAGCCTTGAATGGTGCGTGTCAGAATACCAAATGATCTAGGGTAGTATCCCAAGGCTAGCCAACTTACATTGAACGCGCTGTCAGGAAAGTGTATGAGCAAAAACCGATGTCGGTAGTGGGGATCTATTTGGCTTACTTCGTGT